ATGTTGTAGTCAGTTGCTCAGTTTTTTATTTCAAATGATTTCATTGACCCCTGAAAGCAAATCTCTTGTTGTTAGGCAATGGGCAAAATAAAAATCTTTCTTGTTTATAACGCATTCTTAGCATCATTTCGAATGTGCAAATAACGTGGGCACAGAGATAAATCTAATAGTCCCTAATTGAAACATTCAAATGTGGATCATTTTAATTTTATTATAAAAAAAATTATTGTCTTAATTTTTATTGAATTTATGCATGTAAGATACCGAGAGGTTAATAGCAGAATGAGAGATTAAACTTTGAGGGAATTTTGTTAAAACTGATTAAATTCAGTCTATGTTTCGGACCACTGCTCCATTAAGACCCATTTAAACAGACACAAAAACTTACCAGACTGATTTGTTTTACGGTTTAACAAACCTTTTCGGGTTATTTAAAGCCAGAAGATATTTTCAGATTGTAAGAATTTGGCTGGGGAAATAATAATGGTTTAGTGATACAAGTCTTACTAATTAACCAATAACTGGGGCTAGATGTTGATTCATACCCTTCCCAAGATTATCTGCGCGTAAGTGAATATAATGAATCCAACGGGGATTGGAACTCGACTCTCGGATTAAAAATTCCGAGCCATTATCCATTACTCCACCCGCACATCTAAGCCTACAGTATTCCCAATCAGTGACCCATCTAGATACTGACCAGACTCGACGTTAGTTAACTTCGGTGCTCGTACGGTATTTCAATGTAATGTGGCCATAAGTCAGAATGAAAAAAGTGGCGAGTGAAAGTAAATTTGAAAGCGCTATTTTAACAAAATAAATCAGTTTCTAATGTAGAAGAACAGATAGATCACATTGCAAAGTTTAAAAATACTCTTCTAGTGCAGGTTGTTTTCACTAGATAAATTGAGAGAACAATTAAAAATCCATGAAAGTGTCACAGAACTTGGCAATTGTTAAGGAGTGACAAAATGTTTTTAAAGCTGTGTATATGAGAATAAGAGTTAATCGAAATGGTAACCATTTGATGACAACAATAAACAAATTTATTTATTCCAGTAACATGACATTCTGCAATCTTGGAAGCGATGAATTATTCGAAGGTAATCTGTGTTAGTGCTTAGTCGTTGAAGACCATCTCTTACAGGAAAATTTTAAGCTGTATGGAAAAGTAATATTGGATCATAGAGTGGTCTGATGAGTAAGCTGGGTGACGTAGATATTCGTCACCCAGTTCATGCACTTCTACCTGTTTTATTGGGATATATATAGTCAGGGAAAGGAATTGGTTCATTTTCATTTACCAATGTTAGTAGAAAGCGTTGTTGTTCTTGGGTCAGTTTGTTGATTTCTAGCAATAATTTTCTGCTGCGAGGGTTTCCTTGAAGATTCAATAAGTCGCATGATTCTGATATCCTACCAAATAATAATCGTCAACATTTTTATGAAGTTTTCGTTTGATTTGTTTTTTTGACACTCACTTTGGTACAAATATCTGTTTATATATATATATATATATATATATATATATATATATATATATATATATATATAATGTGTGTGTGTGTGTGTAAAGAAAGAACAGTAAGGTATATAATCCGGTGTTCTTATTGATATTTTTTTTTTATTTTTTACAAAACAGTGCTCAATGTAAATTTACAGAGTATAAATATTATCAAATAATTGATTTAAAATATGTTTTTTTCGCTAAACAGTAATAACCATGTTTCAAAAACTGAAGCCAAAAACTTCAAATTTAATTATATAATTAAATTAAAAGCGTTAGTTCTGTTTCATCTTCAAGCGAATTTTGGAATAACTTATTTTAAATTTACTGAGTTTTAAACGCACATATAAATTCATAATTTCCTGTTTCCAAGGATACAGAGAAATCCAATCATTCAGACAGAGGCGGTAGCGTGTTCATTTTTATTAACTATTGTTGTATCAATTATGAGTTACGTTCGAAAAAGAGGTTAAATTTAGGGAGGGTAGGGGTGTGTTTTTCAACGAATTCTGACATCCGTTAAACGCATGTCGTCTGTTTTTTGGGTTTTTTTGTTTTTTTTTTTATTAACGGCAAAATTTTTTTCGGCATTTTGTTCGTACTTGTATACTTAAAGATTCTATCTAAGGGTGTTTAGTTAGGTTTAGAATACGTTTTAAAAATATTTTTACTCTTAATTACTAATAGACTATATTTCTTTTTAAAACAAGTAAATGTAATAGAATTAATTAAATTATTTAAGATTACTTTTTCATATCAAATATAAGTATGTATATTACTAGCTCCCTTTTTTTTTTAAAGAATATCTATTTCATTTCTCTGATTCAGTAAATTTTTATTTTTTATAAACTTAGTAATATATGGTTTCTCGTGTATGCACAAAGGACATGGGTCATTTAATGACCTACATATTCTAGCTTTTCTTATTAATTTCCATTTTACTGTAGGTGTTTTATTGGATTCTTTTAAGTGACAGAAATATTTTGAAAGGGATGTCTGATTTCTGTATCTATTTATCCTAAATGAAGTTTGATGTTGATTGAACCTCTTTTTGAACTCATGGCTTGTGCAACCTATATAGATTTTTGTTTTCGGGATTTTCAATAGATGAGATATTGCATTGGTATACTAATGATTCCGTGCGACATTTATTTTGTAGAGGACAGTTATGAGGATTTCTACAGTTACATAATTCTTGTTTATCTTCATCTCTTTTCATTTTTATTTTTATATTGTCTAAATTTCTTTGGTTTTGGTCTAAGTGTTTATTGAAGATATTAGCATTATGTTTCGTAATAAAATTTTCTAAGTTTTCAGTACAGCTGTAACTTAATTTTGGTGTATTTTTATTGAAAATAGTACTTAGGTTAATTTTTCTAGAAAAGTGCTTAACTATTAATACAAGGAATTTATGTCCTAATTTGTTCTTTACTATTTTGTTGTATGGGATGTATACCAAATTATTTTTCTACTTCTGTTTTTTTTCTATGCTTTCCATTTTCATTTTTTATATAAGTTAGTTTTGGGCTTTTGTAGCCACTATCTTTTAGAGCTTTATTTTAGAAATTAATATGTTCATAGAAAATCTTCTCATTTGCTGAATTTGTACTTATTCTTATTTCGATAAATAAAGGTATATGTTTAATTATAGATGGAAGATGATTTGATTTAGGGTGTATATATAAAGGATTGGTATTGGGTTTTTTATAAGGTATGTATACATTTTTCATTAAATCTAATGTTATATCAAGGAAGTTAACCTTTTTTAATTTAGTACTTACCGTAATTTTTTAGTTTAGCCTTTTAAATTCTTTATATAATATCTTTCTAATTTTATCGATTTTAAAGTTAGTACAGTTCTTTATAACCATAGGTTCATCGTCTCTGTATAAACCAATGTCACTTATATTAATTTCACGGTACGCTGTGAGATTGTATAATATAAAAAGATCGATAAGATCAGAAGACTCAGCTGAGTCTAGTGATCCCATTGTGATGTCAAAGTGGTCATATGAATTTTTTATCCATTGCTCACCTTTATGTATCAGTACCGATTTTTTCGCATTTACAATAATGCTCTTTTCTTCTTCTGTAATATCCGTGTACTGGTTAGCAAAGTCCATCGCATTAGCAGTTTTATACCAGAATGAGTTTAGGAGATTTAGTTAAAAATGATTCGAAAAGATTTATTAAAATCAATATAAAGATTGTTGCAATGCTCAACCTTTGTGTCCGCAATAAAAACCCGTTGTGGTTGGTTTTTTACTTGACACCGCTATTACTCTATACAGCTTTGCCTCCCTTGGCAATGTCTATTTATAGGATTATAAAAATATGTTAACCAAGTACGATACGATGTTTATTAATTAATAATATTTTATAAATATTTATTTACCATTTTATAATGAAATAAATTAGAAAAGAAATATTTTTATTCGAAGATTTATAAGAAATTACAAAATTATCAAAATATGTAAACCATTTTATAAATAACCAAGAATTGTTTTTATTCAATCTAATAAATAAATAGCTTTTTTAATATCTTTGTTGAGAATTCAAGAATAAAGAAAATGTATAAATCCATTTCCTTGCGTTTTATTAAAATTCTAATAATCGCTTTTTAAAAAACAAACATTTCCGATGGAGTCTTAAGTGTATACAGTAATAGCGGTTTCATGGAAATAACCGTCCTTTTGACATCCCTGTTTTTGCGGGCACAAAGTTTAAACATTGCCAACAATGAAATGTCACCTGTTTTTTACAGATCTGTCAGATATTTGAGGTCATATTATATAAACTTATTTCAATTTCACCGCTTAAATTTAAATTAGAATTCTCACTATAGATGCAATTACATTGAATGTATATAAATACACAATCTAAGATATTTTATTATATAAAAATAAAATTAGCATTAACTAAATGATGTTGGTTAAATTTGCAGGATATATATATTTATTTATGATATACATATAAGCTTTGTAAATTTCAGCTTGTAATATTTATCTTTATTAAAATATTGGTAATAATTTGTTTATGAGTTGTTAGATTTGATTAGGCAACAAAAATGCCTAAGTGCCCATAAATATGTATTTATAAATAAATCCAATAGGTATAAACCATAGAAGCATATATTCGATTAACAGTGTATCTCAAAAATCAGAATAAATTATTATTTTAAGCCAGAACATTCGAGAAATCTTATTTTTTTCTAATAAGATTTCTCGAATATTCAGTCCGGCAGATTAAAATAAATAATTATATTGTTTAATAAATAAACAGGGCATCTACTCAAATATGGATACCCACTAAAAATAACGTTTAATTAAAACAGTCTTAATAATTAACCCATAGCTGGGGGAAGAGGTAGATTCATATCTTTCCCAATAGTATTTGCGCGTAAGTGAATGTAATGAACTCAATAGGAATTGAAACTCTGCTCTTCGATTAACAATTCCGAGCCATTATCCATTACACCACCCACACATCCAAGCTTACAGCACTTGATATTCGCAAGCGAACAACCATCTAGATACTGACCAGGCTCGACGTAGCTTAACTATGATGATCGTACGGGAACCGGTATTTTAACGTAATGTCGTCGTAAGCCCTTGTACTGACGAGCTACCTTCTTTAATTCCATCAACTCTAACCCTCTGAGCTAAGATCCACCATGCCGCTTACATTCAGTGAAACTATACTCATCCCCTTCATAATCCGCTAACAAGAAAGAAGTTCAAGCCAAACTGCTTCTTCCCGTTAATTGATACTTTGTGGAACTGACTCCCAAGGAGATGCTTTCCCGATCACTACAATCTTAACCTCTTCAAAACTAAGTTAACCATTATCTTTTCCACATATCCTTTGCGCTTCTTACCTCTTACTCTTATAGAACAACCTCCTTTAATAACCATTTTAATTTTTTTTAAAAACGAGTTGAGATGTCCGTTGATGGTCTACTTGCCAAACACCTGACTCTTGTTAAGAGCATTCATTGCTTATGTCAAATTTTGAACTCAAACAATAAAGTCACTTGCATTCGCCCGTTTTCTATCCTTATTTTGACAATAATAAGCAATGAAAATAATATTATTATGCAGTTACCCCACATACTTTCCTAAAAATCAGTCGCTAGGTCTCCAATCTGTTCCCTAAGACTATAAATAGACAGTGACTTTCTCCGCCATCCTCTTTTTTTCTATTTCACTCAGGGACGGTAAGATGTAGGACGAACGAGGAAAACGCTTTTTCCCACTGGGGGATGCACACAAGCATAACAACACACGCACGCACGCCAGCACTTTTCTCTTCACTTTCGTCAATCTAACACCTTACACTCGGACCTCTTCTACACAGATTTTATACACACAAAAACATTCTTTATTTAAATGTTTCCTTCTTTCATATTCATTGTTCAGTAACACACAACAATATTCTATTGTCTATGTATACTCTTGTTTTGTTAATACATACTCGTTTGCTTATATATATGGTTTTGTTGTTAGTTTTCATTTATTACCCGGACTCACATGCCAAGTCAGCCATTTTTTGTGGGATAAATATACTAATAGACACGTGTTTCCTGACCTAAAACACGATCAGCATACCCCCGCAACAGATTGGTGACCCTGACGTGATAATTTTCTCCTGGATACAAAAAACAGAAAACTGTATAAACAAACTCGTGCATCGTTTAGACACCTTTTTTCAAACCGAGAGCCAATGAAGAGAAAACTTCGACCAACTTTTTACCAACCCTACAGCGGACACGGAAAACAGTTACAAAAATAACTTACAGTTAAAATATTTGTGATTAAACCTGACGAAAAGAGCAAAATCAGAAATTTCAAATCTCTAAAACACATCTAGACAACGTATCTATCTAGACATGATGTTCTCCAAGTCAGCAAATAGATTGTATCTTATTTCTACTGCTTTTGTTTGACACTTTCTTTCTCTTAGGCACCATTGCGCCTGACTCAACTGGCAGACGTCACAAAAACTTTTTTCACCAAATCGAAAAATACGACTTTCATCATACAAGTTTGGACCAAGCAAGACCCAACTTATTTTCTTCAAAAATACCGTTCAGAATTCACAAATAAACCTACGCGGACCACACGAGAAAGTACCATTCAAACACCATGAAAGTTAACTTCATTTTCAACTTTAAACAGCACTGTTTCTCCTCAGGCTCAACAAATAAAGGGTGAAATGATTCCAAAGGTAACCCACTGACCTTTTTCACTCTTCAAAGATGTTCGAACATGAACAACTAAGAAATCTGCAAGTACGATTTAATAATACACTGGGATAGCTGCGTCTCCGAGAAAAATCGACAATAATAGCAAATATGTATTCGACTCGCGGTAGTAATTTCACCAACATCAGCTCAACAACTTTACAAATCGACGCTTATTCTATTAAAATTTTGTGCCCCAACATTATACACGAACAGCAAACAAACCAGGCCTTCCAGACAAAATCAATTCAACGTGAAGCAGTGAAAAATAAAATTTTAATACCAACCGTTACCTTTTTTTCTACACTATCGACATATTTTCCAGGGCGTGCTACGACTCTGATCCACTAGTGAATTATATAGCATCCTCATGACACAGTACTTCATACAAGTACATTTTCGTCGAGATGTTTAAACATACATCACAACCACACTGTTCGACGTTTTTCTTTTCAGCCTACGAGAGACAAAACATATTCAAATTTTATAAACATATGGGTAGAATAAAATTCTCCCCACCTGAAGGGAGTATTGTGGAGTTACCCAACTTACTTTCCTAGGGGACGCTTCCTAAGCTTATAAATAGGTAGTGACATTCTTTTATCATACTTTTTTCCTATTTCACTCAGGGACGGTAAGATGTAGGCCGAACAAGGAAAACTCTTTCCCCACCGGGAAATGCACACAAGCGTACATCCTGAAATTATGGAATCCCAAGTTTTCATTACTGCGATTGTTTTCGCCGATTTTTTACGTGATTTTTGCGGCGAATTTTTTGTACGATAACAATAGAAATAAATTTGGGAATAATAGAAATTAATTGCGAAACCCAGTGAAAGTCACCCATGAAATAAAATAATTGTTTGTACGGAAAGTAAGGACCTACTTAATTGTCTTTAAATTAAGTGGCATCAGAAGAATTAGCTTAAATATTAATGCAATACCTAAATGCAACGATCAATTTTGTGTTCTTATGTAGTTTGTTGTTGCCTATGGTATCTATTCTTCCCTACCAATTGTGATGAAGACTCAAGATCTCTCCACAGGAGGTAGCTTAAATGCCGCCTGATAAGGCGGCTTTTAAGCTAGTAAAAAATGATCTACTATAAAAAATGTTCTTGACATTAAATAACCTAACAAATGTTGATATGTAGTAAAATCCACCAACTCAACTATTGTGTACTTATCAATAATAAACCTATGATAGTCATAAATTCAGTATTTAACACTGCACTTTTATACAACCGCTTTCTAAGATCAATAGTTCAAAATAGCTTTAAACTAGTGAAGCCTTGGTAAAGACCATCATTCTTCGAATATTGTGGACTGGCGCTATAGAATCACAAGCCAAGAACTGAACCAAATAACAGAAACCACATCACTTGAAGAATATCAATAGAAGCAAAAACTAAAATGGATAGCACACGTAACACGAAAAGAAAATAATGACATATTCAAGATGTTGACATTCCACACTACTTCAAATAAAAGGTTAGGAAGGAAAACCCCATCAATACAGAAAGTGAGAGAAAACTATTTTCCTGAAAAATTGTTTTAAGGAAAAGATTTTATAAATTTCAACCAACAGCACTACTGGCTGCACAGTGAATGAATGCTAAATGTTTCCCTGTAGGGAAACGGCTATTTTAATATTAGAGCTGAGGAGAACAGATACTACACTTTGATAACAGCCTGATGCCCAGGGAATAAACAAAACTGTAACTCGAGTAGCGCTGGCCACTTGATCAGTGAATACCAAATGTTTCCTTGCAGGCAAACGACTAATACTACCTTTACTGTTACCATATTGGTTATTAAAAGAAATGACCCATTTTGTTTCAAACTGAAAATATCATTTCACAAATAATCAAGTTATTTAATTTTTTCAAAAACTTCAAATTTTCAGCAAAATGTTTTATTTGTTACACAAATATACTTACTACTTACAGAAAAAGTGTTTATTAACTACAGCTAAAGAAATAAAATTTGAAATCTAGTGTGGCTTCATCTTTTTTTTTTTTTTCTTTTTTTTTTGATAATATATTTTATATTTTGACTTTAAGCATTTTCCACTAAAAGTATTTTATAAAATTCACTGGTCAAATAAAATGTCCTCTAAAGAAATAGAAAATAATGGAGGCAGTAAATATCTTAAATTAACGACAAAATTAGAAATAAAATCAATTTCTGTTGATATTCTGTCAGTTTTGCAAATAAATGCTGGGAAAATAATTTTTCGGTTGTCATTACATTACTTTGTACACATTTAAATTTAATATTCTTTTAACATTACTTGAAAAACCTTCAACGTGTTTATATTTATACCTCAAAATCACATTTTAAAACTTTTAGTCTCTTCTTCTTCTTTGAGGAAAGATTCTTCTTTTTCTGCAATTTAAAGAAGATTTTTATAAACTGAATTTTAATTGTTGCTTTTTCTTTAATTTTAAATTTATTTTTTGTTTAATGCTGGTTATAAAAAATTTTTTTACATTTGTGTTGAAAATGTTTATTTCTTTTTCAAAGTAAAAATAGAGGGATTCTTAATATTTTTATAGACAATCATCTCAAACCTTCCTTATGGTTTGAGACACGAATCTTTGTCATATTTAAACTCACGTTAATTATTAGAATTAACATAAACACAGCTTTTTAAAACCACTTATCCAACTGCATAATTTTCTCTTCGAACGACAAGTGAAAACAAATCAAAAAGCGACAATTCCGGTCAAAATAGACCAGTCGTGAACAATATTTCTCTTCTTTTGGGTCCAAACTCACTGTTTTATGTTTCTTAATTAAATAATACCAAAACACCTTTCTCATTAGTCAGACCATTTAACAACATAATCTATCAAACCAAACTTTTAACCTTTCATCTAAACAAAAAAGGACGTTTGAACTTTTAAAATCTTTACTCTAGTTGTTTGTACCTCTTGTTTATAAAATATTTTATTCATTGTTGAACAAAAACTGTTGTTTCTCATGTTTGTTCTTATTCTATGTTTGAATACTGAAATTTTTTTATGTGAGAGTAATTGTTAATTTCATCAGCCCCTATTTACTCAACAATTATTTATCCATATAATTTAATCAATTCTGCAACCTAAGGATTAAAAGGATATTATCATCCTTTACTAGTAAATATATAAATTATAGACCATTATCCCATAGGCTAGAAGAAGCGTAAACAAAACGATAAAAGGCCGGGATACGTTTCAGAAAGAAAATTGAATTTTAAGAACATATACGTATACAGAAAAAGTTTATGATTATCTGTTTGGCTAGCATAGTTTACTATCAGCGCTGCTGTCCCGGCCGGATTATCCTATGACCGTCAGAAGAATCTAC